TTGATGCTGTGCAGGAGAAAATAAGAGTAGAGCTGCCGAAAGAGAAGACATTCCAAATTATAAATGCTGTCATTCTGGTTACAGAACAATTAGCCAAGGCAGATTTTGTATGCAGAATTAAAGGGGAAGAAATCTCAAAATGCAGGCTAATAGCCAATAAGGCTGCCTGAGAGATAATGGCAGTTACAAAGCGAGAAGAAATGGCTGCTGGTGGTTCTGTGAGCGATTGCTCTTGCCAAGCAGACTCGAGCAATCAATCGCCTGCATGTGTAGCCCTGCTATGGAAGAGAAGTACAAGGGAAGTCTTGTTTCTGTACAAAGCGATGTGGTTGTCATTACCTAAAACAGCTGTATTTAAAAAACAAAACGGTTTCATGCATGCAGCCTGTGACCAAAATAAGAATAATAAGAAATAGCCACAATCCAATGCAGGGTTTCCAAGTCCTGGTCCTGGCGGCTGCCGCCTGCTGCTTTTTATTCCAGCTGAGCTTAATTACTTCGTTGAAGCCTTAATTAAATTAATAAGCTGCTTTTTCATTTTCATTTGATTCCGTTTAAATTAGGGAACATAGTTAAAAGGCTGCCTCCAGTCGGTTTCAAATCTGAAAACAGCCACACAGTTCAAATTAATCCTTTTAAGTCCCATTAAGTCAATTACAGATTCAATGGTGCAGCTGACAACTTTGCTGGACCAAGAGTTGACAGGTGTGTGGGTCTCCAGTACCAGGACTGGAACCACAACTTTAACTCCTCAGACCTCAGCAAGCACCAAGATCAGTCTTGGCAGGGTGTGAGCATATATTACTGCTGTTCTGCATGTCCAGTACATCCTGAAATATTTCACCTTTGTGCGCTATCCGTACCCCAGCTCCATCTCCTTCCTGAAGCTTCAGCTGAGGCTGTGGTGAGGGTGTGTGGGTCTGAAAGGAGAGCTGCGACTCTTTTCTTCTATTTCGGGGTTAGAAAGAGTCAGCATGGACGAGTGCATTTCAAACCACAATAAAACTAAAACTGTAACGTGCCAAATCACATTAAAAAACCTCCGATTTACACCACGAAATAAACTAAATTTCCAGATATGCATAGCGCCATGTTCTGTCAATCAGATTGAGGCAACAAAACATCAGCTGACCTGAAGCAGCCCAATTACACTGTAAACAAGCAGGCTGGTGAATAAAGCGCTTTTAATCCAATAGAGATATTGCTCTTAGTTGTAAAACCCATAAAACCATATTTAATGCACATCTCAACTTAGGTCTTAAACATAATTTTGGGGCGGAGCAGTGGCTCTGTGGCTCTAAGGATCTGCGCCTGTGGCTGGAAGGTTGCCGGTTCAAATCCCGCAGCTGCCAAAAGAATCCTCCTCTGTTGGGCCCCTGAGCAAGGCCCTGAACCCCAACTGCTCCAGGGGCGCTGTATAAATGCGCTCTGACCCCAGGCTCTCTCCATTTCTTTAAAAAATTAAAA